AAGGGCCAAGGATTGAAGGGGGCAAAGTTCCCACAAGTTTCAAAAGGTCCTCTTTGCCTGGCTCACTGCTGATCCTCACTGCTTGGAACAGTGCCCAGTAGTGCTTAATTAATATTTATAATCAATATTTAGGTAAAATATATGTTAATCATTCTTTGTGGGAAGAGGTGATAGGAATTGAGACTGTGAAGGAGGTTGAACTATTGAGTGTAGGGAGTGATACTGTGCTAAGGGGGATGGATGGACTTTGACTTTGGAAGATGTGAGAAGTCTTTGAAGATTTTAATTAAGGGTATGGCATTGATTAAATGTGTGTTTTAGAATAATAGCTGCCCACAGACTGGAGAATGGATTGGGGAGGTAGGAGAGACCGGAGGCAAGGAAGTAGTAAGAGGCTATTCAGTGAAAGGAGAGGATGAATTTAGGGGATAAACTGGGACACAGAATTAATGAAATGTAATGACTAGATTTGGGAAAATAAGAAAACAGAAGAGGATTCTCAGTTTGGGAAAAATTGAATTAGGGGTACTTTGAGGCATTTTGGTTGAAATGTCTAGAAGACAGTTAGGAAGTGGTGGGTGAAATCAATCTGGAATAAACTTGGGTCTTGTTACTTTGTTCTTGTTACTCCTCCTTGCCAGCGCATAACGTGCACATTAAATGGTCAACACCTTGAGAACACTCTGGTTTATTGCTATATGATGCTTAGCGCTAATATAATTCTCAACACTATAATTTTTGTGCTCTTTGTGTGGCAAGAGGTAGGTTTTGTTTAAACTTGTTCTACATTTATGGAATGAAACTAAGTTCGTGTACTTTAGGTGGTGTATAAGATTACACTAAATAGAGTCATCACATAGATTAAAAGTGAATTATATATTATATGGAGGAAAGGCAGGAAGTGTTTTTGCCCATTTGTTGTCAGGCTTAATGAATTGCATGAATTGAGCAAGTATTGAGATTCAGTGACAGAAATCAAATAGAAATGGACATTGCTTCCTATTGTGTTATAGTTCTTTTAAAATATCTTTCATACTATAAAAGTTACACATGCTTACTTCATAGAATTCAAGAAATATTAGAAATATTCATGGTATACGAATCCAGCAATAACCAGGACTAACATTTTTATGTATTAAATTATGATATTTTAAAAATTATGTATTTTATACAAGTAAGTAAATTTTACATAGTTACTATGTAAACCCCATTTCCCATCTACTCTTGAAGAGCTACATTATATATGTTTCTATTTTATTAAAAATTTCACTGAAATTCTTTGTACACACATAAGACACATAAAATCCAATTGCTGTGCCTTACCGGTTTTTCTTTAAGGTTGGGAATTTTTTTTTTTGACAATTTGTAGCATATCCATAATTCTTTCATTCCAGTAATACTGTTATTATCTATCAAGCTTTTACATTTTTCTATGAGACTCTGACAATAAGCTTTATGAATTATTGCTATTTGTCTTATAATGTATTAAGGACTTAGTGCTCAAATCATCTTTAGTCAAGTATTTTCATTATAATCTTTCTTAAACACTGTTTCTCAGCCTCATTTCTCACCCAAAGGTTCAAGGTGTACATCAGCATAATTTAAATCTAAACATAATGTGGTATACCTATTCTTTATTTCTTTTAAAAATGAGTTCTTTGGTGTTTCCAATTTGTTTTCCTTTAAGAATTTTTTTACTACAAAAACTCTCACACATTTGCAATTTATTCCAATAAAATAGAAAATAAAATTTATTCCAGTAAGCCAGGGTTGTTCTCAAGATAATAGTCTTTTAATATGCTTGTATACTCCGATTTATTTCAGTAAGATTTAAAATAAAAATTGCTTTCTCTGTCGTTTATTGTCATTATCAGTAGAATTGAAAGCAGTCAATTTTTTTCCCCATTAAGCATTTATTTATTTTGGGGGATATGACCTGGTATAATTGGGGGAAAAAACTGTTTTACTATTAAACCCCAAATTCTGAAAGCCTTCTGTCTAGAGTAGGCTAAATGTGAAAAAAATCAGGAATGTATTTTTAGACTGCTATTCTTGCATCTTGTGATATATGCTATTCATTTCTAGTATATAGTCTTATATCTTTTTGGCCACATTCAGATTTATGCATACTATGGGTTTTCGTGAGTGGTTTTTTTTTTTTTTTTCCCTTTGATTTGGAATCTCACTCTTGTTGCCTGGGCTGGAGTGCAGTGGAACACTCATGACCACCACAGCCTCGACCTGCTGGGCTTAGGCAATCCTTCCACCTCAGCCTTCCAAGTAGCTGGAACTACAGATGCACACCATCACACTCCGCTAGTTTTTGTGATTTATTGTAGAGAAGAGTTCTCACCAAGTTGCCCAGGCTGGTGTCAAACTCCCAGGCTCAGGCAATCCTCTTGCCTTGGCCTCCCAAAGTGCTGGAATTACAGACTGAGCTACCATGCCTGGCCAGGAGTATTTGTTTACCAAGAGAATTTATTGTCCTTGGTCAACTTTTTGGCCTTTTTTTCCATAATGATTATACTCTATACCAGGGATTAGCAAACTTTTTCTGTAAAAGGCTAGTGTCTTCGTTAGGACTGTTGTAATGAAATATCATAAACTAGGTGACCTATGAACAATGAACATTTATTTCTCACAGTTCTAGAGACTGGGAAGTCCAAGATCAAGCCTCCTGCAGATTCAGTGTCTGGTGTGGACTCCTTTCTCCTAGAAAGCTCCTCCTCACTTAGCAAAAGAGACAACAAGCTTCCTTGGGGCCTCCTTTATAAAGGCACTAATCTTATTCACAAGGGCTCTGCCCTTATGACCTAATCATCTCCCCAAAGGTCTTATATCCTACCTCAGGGATTAGGATTTCCATATATCAATTTTGAGGAGGTACATGCTTTCATACTGCCAGAGAATAAACATTATAGACTCTGTGGACTGTAAGGTCTTTTAACAACCACTCAGCTCTGCCTTTGTAGTGTGAAGGCAGCCATATAGAGTATGTGAGTGAAGGTACATGGAATGCACATTAAAACTTGATTTACAAAAACAGGCCATGTGTTCTATATAAATAAATAAAGAGGAAAAAAAAGCAAAAAATATTGGGATAACATGACTCATCTATTAAAGATGCTTTTCATTTTTATTGTTTTCATTTGTTGTAGCTCAGAATGAATGGGTTTATTTGATTGCCGCATTTTTAATAATGGCAAAAAATGTATTCAGTTTTAGTATACTATGTAAATATCTTCTTTTCCGTAACAGCCTCTTGTATTATTATTTTCTGTGATCTATGATTTTCAATTGTTAAAGATTATTGGAACATAGAAGCTGATTTTGAACAGCACCAAAATTAACTCAAAATCTTTTGGGGTATTTGTTAAACAGAATATATATTTAACAAATTAAGCCATCAGTGAAGAAATTAGCATTCACAGCCCTCATCTTGTAATGGATTGGGACTTGGATCGAGTATAGATTGTGAGAGCACTTGAGAACTACTTCTGTAATCTACCTTTGTAAACCTGAAATTTTACATTGCTTTTCCAAAAACATGGCCCTCATTTGAGGTGGATAAACTTTTCTAGAGGTTCCACTTGGGGCCCTTCCCAATGCTGTCTGACTCTCAGAGAGAGATCATGTTTTCGTATGCTAGGTATATTTCAATGAATGATCTGCATTCTCATTATTAACAAGGCATGCTTGCTCAGAAATAATGAATACAAGGGGACCCCCCCAAAACCCAGAATTTATTTATAAAAAATTGTTTATCCTTACATGTTTAATGGTGTCAAAGTACTCTCCGTTTGCTGCCATATATCTATCAAGGCGATTTTCGTTTCTCAAAACAGATTTTCGTTTGTCAGTTTTGATGCCTTTTAGTACTTCTGCCATTTTTTTGTTTAATATTTTCCGCGTGGGCAAAACATTTCCCTTTGAGAATTTTTTTATCCCAGGAAACAAAAATAAAATTCGCTTGGGGCAAGATCAGGTGAAGACTGAGAGTGGGACATGGGAGTTATGTTGTTTTGTGTCCAAAACTGCTGAGTACTCAGTGTAGTGCTGGCAGGTGCGTGTCATGGTGGAAGAGCCAGTTACTTGTTGGCCACAACTCGGGATGTTTCTTCTGCCAATCATGATGCAACCTTCTCAAAACTTCCAGATACAAACTTTGATTGATCGTTTGATCCGGAGGAACAAATTCCAGGTGTACTACAAGGGGTCTGCCTTCCAAAAGATAATCCTGATTTTTTGGGGGAGTCACCCCTCATATATATTTAGCTTTTCAAGTTCATGCTAAAAATTCTGATAATGAAATTCATTTTCTCTTCTTTCTTTTGTAAACTTTGAGTCAATCAAAGGTATAGTCCATTTTGTCTTTTGTGATGGCTAGTACCTAAAAATATAACTATTTGTGATTAGGTTTTATACATTGTGTATTTCTATTTATCTTTGTATTATTTTGCATATTTCTCCTGTTTTGCAAATTAAGAAACATTTTCTACTATAAATCCCAGGAGAATGTAATGAACTCTGTGAATTAGGATGCATTGTTGCAGAATTATACTTTCAGTGCTAAGACGCTTCCTAACTGGCCCTCACCTATCTGTCTCCCTACCCCCTCCCTGTACATTAGGCGCACTGGGTAGGCTTTCCATTCAAGACTTCACTCTTGTATGCATCGCCCTCCCTTTTCTGAAAAGTCTGGAAGTGGTCATGAGTGTATCCTCTGTGCCATACCTAATGTTGCTTTGTATTCTACCTCCCCTGCTTTCCAGTTAAGCACTGTGTCTTGGTTGTTTGCCATTTCTTCTTTTAACTGTGATTTCATCATCTTTAGATTGTCCTCCTCTCCCAAACACCACCTGTCTCCAATCTCAGTGTCTTGTGGCAATCACCTTGAGCACAAAATAACTATATGTTGAACTGAAGGAACATGTGGAGATAAAGGAAGACATTCGTCATTGCAGAATCATATCTTTTCTCTTTCTTTGTTTTATGTCTAGGTATTCTTGAAGTTTTACACTGTGTGTTGGTAGAAAGCCCAGAAGCTCTAAATATTATTAAAGAAGGACATATCAAATCCATTATTTCACTTTTAGACAAGCACGGAAGAAATCACAAGGTCAGTGAACCATTTTATTTCCCTGAATGAGTTCTGGAATGATTTAAAATGTATTTTGTAAAATAAGGTAATTTTTAAAAGGTGTGCCAAACTTTTCACAAGTACTTTTCATCTCTTAACGATGATCAGTTTTTTAAAGTTTATTAATAGCCTTTATGAATAGTGGGGGCATAAACAGTTCTCAGTTTGTGTATGGAGAAAAGTTGGAGAATCAGTGGGAAACGTACTGTAAAGTTTAAATGACTGAGTCAAATGTAATGAGAGGGAATGTGTTTGCTTTGTGAAAAGTGCTACTGGTGCTTGATTCTGAAAAGGGGATTAGAATTAGTTGAAAGTAGTTTCTCTCTTCAGGTTCTGGACGTCTTGTGCTCACTCTGTGTTTGCCATGGGGTTGCAGTCCGTTCTAACCAGCATCTCATCTGTGACAATCTCCTTCCAGGAAGAGATCTGTTATTGCAGACACGTCTTGTCAACCATGTTAGCAGGTACATTCAGATAAGCAATGTCCTCAAATACGTAACATAAAAAAAGAATTCATGTTCTCTCAAAAAGACACTATATGGTCTATTTTTTTTTTGGATCTTTTCATATATTTCACCAATGAATACTATGTCTTGTCTTCTACCAATGAGATGGGATAGCAATACATGAAACAAAATATGGATTTTCTACAAACACACATATAAGAGCTTTTGTTCACATTCATATGTAGATGGCTATAATTGACATTTTCAGGAGCAGGTTGACAGTTATACAGGGAAATAGTCTTATATAGTTATGTTTTGTACCTTCTTAGAATGTAACTGAAAACACTCTCTTTCGGTATCATTTTGAGGTACTCATTTGTACAATTAAAAATAGAATGTCCAAAATATAATACATTCTACAATAAACAAAAAAACTATATCTTTCGTTAGAGCTGCCTTCCAAGGTGTCTAATCTTCATTGAGTACCATGTGTCAACAATTATGCTAAGTGCTTTACACATTCTATGCATTTTGTGTTTGTGCTTTCCTAAGAATGACTGTCATCCACATTTTATAGATGAGAAAACGGGACCTGGAAATGGAACTCAAGTCTAAATCCAGAGACTGAGCTCATGACCACCATGCCACACATGCCCTCCCCCTAAATAAACACAAATAAATAAATAAGTAGTAAGAAATACTGCTTACCATCAACAAAATACTATGTGTGATGGCAGTAACTTTGGTACGCTGTATCCAGCAGCTAGCTATCCAGGAGGCGCTCACTACTTTATCCTGTGTAAACAGAAATATAGGGTTTGTTGTATATTTCTGTGTTGTGTTTTTGAAACAGCATTGATTTAGGACATTCTTCATAGTTCTTTATAACAGACCTGCCCTTGAGTGGTGTGTTCTGAGACCTTCACTCATTCCTCGTATTATCAAAGGGAATATGTTTTCTCCTGTGATGGAATTAAATACAACTCACTAAAAATTCTTCTGTTCACATCGAGGTGTGGTGAACAACAAAACTGATCCAGTCATCTTGTTTCCTTCACAAACAGTATGACCTGCTTTGGCCTCACACCCCATGTGACACAAAGTTTAGCTTAGAAAAATGTCTTCATGTCCTGGATGAATAGTAATTCCATTAACTCTAAAAGAGCACTGTTAGCCTCTCATTTTGTGGCTTAAATATGATTGATGATATATAATATGCTGATACATAATATGCTTAAGAAAAAGTGATATCAGACCGTTGAATGACATTGCCATGGAATCCCCAAAACAAATAGTATTCACGGTATGTTCACTGTAAAACTGCCTCTCACTGTGTACTACCTCAGTGGTTATGTTAATTTTGTATTGTTTAAGAAAATACATATTCAGTATGTGGCATCTTAGAGAAACAGGATTAATGTTCAAAATAGTGAGTTGTAAATGAAAACAGTAAAAGTTTTGTCTGGACCTTTCTCATATGCTATTCCTCTCTCTTTAAAGCATGAGGCCCAATATTTTTCTGGGTGTCAGTGAGGGTTCTGCTCAGTATAAAAAATGGTACTATGAATTGATGGTGGACCACACAGAGCCGTTTGTGACAGCTGAAGCAACTCACCTGCGCGTGGGCTGGGCTTCCACTGAAGGCTATTCTCCCTACCCTGGAGGGGGCGAAGAGTGGGGTGGAAATGGTGTTGGAGATGATCTCTTCTCCTATGGATTTGATGGACTTCACCTCTGGTCAGGTAAACACTGTCCACTTTCTTTTACCGAATTCTAGAAGGAGATCTTTTGTTCTTGCTGTGCATTTCTGAATGCTATTGGTGCTGCCTCTATGGGTCCATTTAAAATTCATCTCAGTTAACACCGAGATGACAAGAGCGTTGAATAAAAAGCAGAATTTCATTAGGGGAGAAAGAAAACACAATTATAGTACATTTCCAAGGGATTGTATTGCTTATGAACACACTGTATTTAAAGAGTGGCATGAATTTCCAAGCATGAATGAACTGTGAAGAACTTGTGCGTTTCCTACTTACTTTAATTGGTATATGTAAAGCTTTAGCTTCCAATAGAAAATAAACACAAAAAACAAATCCTGGAAAATAATTGGGAGACATAGACAAAGTTCAGCTTCCTGCTGGAGAATGTAAGGGCAAAAATTAGAGATTTGTAAAGTGTAATATAAGAAGTCAATTCATAATCAAATAACACCTTGTTTTAGAAGTATAGAATGATTTTAAAATAACGGTATAGTTTATTTCAGCAGCTACCAACTCTCAGCTTTGAAGGCTGGATGTATGTTAAAAATGAGTTCTGTTTATTTATTTATTTATTTTTGAGTTGGAGTCTCACTCCGTCGCCCAGGCTAGAGTGCAGTGGCATGTTCACGGCCACCTGGGCTCTGGAGATTCCTCTGCCTCAACCTTCCAAGTAGCTGGAACTACAGGTGTGCGCTACCATGGCCTGCTTATTTTTTATTTATTGTAGAGACGAGGTCATGCCAAGTTGCCTGGGCTGGTCTCGCACCTGTGAGTTCAGGCAACAACACTCGCCTTGGCCTCCCAAAGTGCTAGGATTGCAGGCTGAGCCACCGAGCCCAGCCTATTACTATATATTTTTAAATAGCATTATTTTCTCTGATTCATACAGATGTATGATTTGGTTGGCTTCATGTAAAAGTTTCGCTCTTGAGCCAGGCTCGGTGGCTCAGCCTGTAATCCCGCGCCTTTGGGAGGCTGAGGTGAGTGGATCGCCTGAGCCCGCGGGTTCGAGACCCGCCTAGGCAGACGAGACCTCATCTCTACAATAAATCAAAAAATTAGCCGGGCGTGGTAGCGTGCGCCTGTAATTCCGGCTCAGAAGGCTGAGGTGGAAGGATCGCTGGAGCCCAGCAGGTCGAGGCTGCAGTGGCCGGGAGCAGCCACTGCACTCCAGTCTGAGCGACAGAGTGAGACTCCAACGCAAAAAAAAAAAAAAAAAAACAGTTTAGCTCTGAATATGCAGTTTTTTTAGGTATTGGGATTCATCTAAAATTTTCCTACTGACTAATCAAAGGCAAAGAAGACTAGCCTTACAAGACCCATCAAACATAAAATAGGGCTAATGTCTATTTTATAAAATGTTTTACTATAATCCTTCAGATATTATTACCCTCTCTCTTTAGAACTTGTTATTGCTTTGCAGGAAATAGTTACTTGAATAAATGAAATGTGTTAAATTGTTTTCCCATTATACAGAGATTAGGGGAAACAACATTACTCTGATGACAAATGTGGAATTGCTTCCAATTATTTAACCATATTACACATTTCACCATTTTTGTTTTTGCATTCATTTTGAAACTTTTTCTTTTAACACATTAAAAGTACCCAGTGCTTATGGAATTCAACTGAGTGCATTATAACTTTTATTACAAAGTATCTGTTAAATAGAACAATAAGAACAAAATTATTTCTGTGAATCTATGAACATGTCACAGAAAGAGGATGGTAGTTTGTGGAATTTCCAGAGAAAATCATCTTGAAATTTTTATTCATTTTTTAAAATGGCAAGAAAATATGTACCATATCATGTCTATAGTTGAAAGGTATGTTCTCTTAAGCCATTGGGGTCTATTAAATGCTTTGCTAATTTTCAACTCATAGTCAACAAAGACAAATCTAAATTAGTTGAAGTATGACTGAGTTACCAAGGTAGCATTTGTAGTAATACACTCATAGGTGGTCTTCTTGGGGTCATTCTCCTCTTCTTTTTCTTTTTATTGGTTGATGTAGAATTTAAAGTATAAGCTGTCAGTGATTTTTAGGATGAAGTACATTCTTTACTACTCAACATTTTGTAATTGAGGAGTGACAGTATTCTTTGGGATGATTTGTCCCATAAGCAAAAAAAAAAAAGTCTAATTTAATTTTTGTACAGTGTTGCTGCATTTCCTCTCTGAGAATACATAATTGGATGTGGGGCATTTAGGACCCAGGTGTTTGCAAGGAACACAAGTATGAAAAATCTTGGTGCTTTTAGAGAATTTACATATAGAAGAAGTATGGAAGAATATACAGGAAAGATGGGTACAGATTTCTAATCCAGGATACAGAAATAAGACTTCTGTCATCTTCCTTTCTGGCAGAGAATAAGAATGCAGTTCTCTGTGGCTTCAATGTAAATTTGTGTAACTATATCTGAAAATACTACTACGTAGATTCAGCTGTGTGGGTGCCATTGAACCTCAGGTTGTTCACTGGTGGTCTTCTCATCTGTTTCAGGCATTGCAATGCAGTGTACCCTGGTGATTGTTAATCATTAGAATCAGCATAATAACCTTCACGATGAACAATATCTTTGGATTATAGTAAATATCTATTTAATTACATGTTTATTAGCTACAGATCTTGATACAAATAAGAACACAGACCTTTTTCTGTGTGCTACCTTGTCTTTATATTATTTTTTACACTGCCTTTATTATATTTAGGAAATTCTGCCTAAGCCACTTGATAGTGAATTTCTTGCTTGCAGATTTAAATATTGGTAAAATTAAAGTGTCCACATTTTAAAAAGTAGATAGTCTCTACTACTGGTATTTCAAATATATTCTTGAGAAAAATCTTGCCATGCTAGAAATAAAAAGAGATATTATAAAAAAATACAAAGCATGTATTATGAAATCTATCTTTGTCTTTGCTCAAAGGGGTATGTTTCCATTTGTGAGCATGTGTGTTGGGAGACCCTTACCTTCTTTTCTTTGACAGTGTGCAATGAGAAACAGATGTCCTTGGTACTAATTAGCAAAGGAGTTCTGATATAGTCAGGAATGGGCTTAGGCCTTAGGTTGGCCAGGGCAAGAAATGACATTTATTAGATATCATCGTGATGTCTCAAATTGTATCCTGCTGTATATCAGAAATCAACTAAGATCTTGTGTGAAATAAATTCAACTGTAAAGCAAAAACAAACCAAGCGGCATATAGTTGTTTCACAATAAACAATATACTGCAGGACTGATCACATTTTTGCTTTCATTGTCCTTTTTAAAAAAAATTTATAAAATAAAGGAGACTTAGTATTTGGAAAGTGACTGACATAAAGATTTTGCTATACCTGAGATTCTGTGTTGTTTGTCAAACATTAATTTAATCATTATAGCAATTCCACAAGGTGATGGTATCTGCTGTTCTGTTTATAAGACATCAAAGTTCAGAGAGGTTAAGTACTTTTCTGATGGTCATACAAGTAGTAGGTGGGCAGGTAACTATTTGAAGTGAAATCTTTCCCTAAATGCTCCTCTGACATCATTATATTTTCTACTGTAAGTTAATTTTCTGCATATCAGAAAGTTCATTTTACAACAAAGCTAGCTTCCTGGCTCCTGGAAAAAAAAAAAAAACAATTTTGTTTTTTGACAAAGAGTTGAACATATAACCTGAATTTGCTCTCAAGATTGAATTTATTGTAATGCTATATTGGTTTGTCACTACATATTCAAATCTTTGACTCTGACTGATGATGATTCTCTGAGATAAAAATAATTACTTTCCTTAATGTTTTTCTCCCCCCATAGGTTGTATCGCTCGTACTGTAAGCTCACCAAACCAACATCTGTTGAGAACTGATGATGTCATTAGTTGCTGTTTAGATCTAAGTGCCCCAAGCATCTCATTTCGAATTAATGGACAGCCTGTTCAAGGAATGTTTGAGAATTTCAACATCGATGGGCTCTTCTTTCCAGTTGTTAGTTTTTCTGCAGGAATAAAGTTAGTATGTCTGTGCTGTTGGTCTCTTTCCCTTCTCACTTCTCATACTTCCATAAACAGGCCGTGCATTGTCATTGCCCTGCTTCTGTAACCTTTGTTTCTCCCTCCTGGGGATCTGTCCACAGGGCATTTTGCCTGTTCCTTGAAGGAAGAGGTAAGGCTGACCCAAGAGGGGTATCTCGGACGGCTGAATGCTTTGTCCATGGATTGTGCTGTGTCTGGGTGTGAGCAGTCTAGTAACTCTCCCTCAAACCACTGTCCTGAAATATTTCACGTCCGTTTCTCCAGGTCCTATTTTTATTTAGTAAGAAGAAATGAGCAGTATTATTTTTAAAATACTGATTTTGTCTTTATGTTTATTTTTGTTAATCTTCCCTTTTTTAACCCATAGTACCACACTTCAAACCCTTCCTTTCTACAGAAATTAAATGCCCTTTTTGTTGATGAGGTCCAGATGGTTCCTTTCAGTGTCTCCTTCACCTGTTAAACTTGTTGATTCTCTACCTAAGATCAACCGTGCGAAGAAGATTTTCTTTAACTTCTTTGTTCTATTACCAGAGGGAAACAAGTTAAAATTATAATTCATTAGAGTTCTACAAGGAAAAACTTAAAATTGATGGCCTATTATAGTTAGAGACCATTCTGTCATCCATGTCTATATCTGTGTCTGTCTATATTGATAGCCATACCTATCTATATCTAACCTATAGATCTATTATCTGTCTAATTTCTGCCTACTGGGAGTGACCCCTTTATTCCTACTGACAGTGCATTTTTTCTGGTTATTCTTTTAGTTATAATTCTCCTCCCCAGACGTAATTTGTATTTACAAAAGCACTATATTGAAAATTAGCTATCCATTACTTTTTCTGGTGTTTATATACAAATTTTATTTCTTTCTATAAGCTTCTGGAATGTTTTAAAACTTTGGTTTTCCTTCACTTTTTGTTCTTTACTTTTTGTTTTATTTAGTTTTCTGGCCTGGAACTAAAATACAAATCAGAAAAAGAATTACAAGGAAAATGAAAAAATTGAATTTAATTTTGAAGGCTAAAAGCCCCCCAAAATTGGTATCATTGAACTGTTTCAAGAAGTGTTATTCAGTGGAACTGAGATTAAAAATATTTTTAATTCAATAAATCTGATGTATAAAATACTTTTGAAAGTTTTTCAGTTTTCATTGTTGAAATTAATGAACAATAAGAAATAAAATTACCCACTTTCTTCAGTAAGTGGAAATGATATCTGAATCCCCTTTAAGGAATTTCATTGGGAAATTGTGCACTGGAAAGTAACTATTTTTCTTCAAACCTAGTTCAGCTCTGTAATGTAAAGCATGTAGATATTTAGATCATGTCTTCTCTTTATCTGTTTGATGACTTGGGCACCCTGGAACATTAAGTGACCAATTACTGTGGATATACACTTCATTCCCATAGGAATATGATACATGTGCTTCTAGTTCCTTCTATAGTAAGTGATGTCTTCACTGATCTATCAACATCATTTAATCAGGTTTCTCTTTGATCAATACAATGCCCTCCTGTTTTACCTTTTAAGTTCTTAGATTTAAGGTGATGACATTATGATGGTACTTAGGGGAAAAGGATGTGGCTTCTTTAAGATGTGGATAAAGTTAGTATAACACTAATAATTTTTTTCCTAATATGTCATTCATTTAAAACATTTTTTGTAAATGCAAGATATAATTGACTCTGACATTCCTCCTTTTTAGGGTACGCTTTCTACTTGGGGGGCGACATGGAGAATTCAAATTTCTTCCTCCCCCCGGGTATGCTCCTTGTTATGAAGCCGTTCTGCCGAAAGAAAAATTGAAAGTGGAACACAGCCGAGAGTACAAGCAAGAAAGGACTTACACACGAGACCTGCTGGGCCCTACCGTTTCCCTGACACAAGCCGCCTTCACACCAATCCCCGTGGATACCAGCCAGGTACCAGATCAACTCCAATGGCAACCCTTTGCATGGTAGTAGTTCTGATACGCGTTTGAAACTTGGACTGCAACACACAGGAATGCATCTTACAGTCATACAACTGGCATGTGTGATTGAAATAAGTCTCATAAAATAATACTGACCTTTACTATGCTCATTCACTTATTTTCTATTCCATTCCATTTCATTCTGTTTAACAGCTGTTCCAACCCAGTAAGTTGATTCCATGTTGCACAAACAGATCACAACCTGGAGATTTAAAAACACTGTTCAGGGTAGTCGTTAAGACTTTCTTAAAATAGTTAATATTATTTAGTTTATAAAGTACATATTATACTTTCCTTAAAAACAGGCAATAATAGCCACAATTTTAGTGACAAAATCATACAAGCACTTTTAAGGTGTAATAATGTTAAGATGGCTGGGCTCGGTGGCTCAGCCTGTAATCCCAGCATTTTGAGAGGCTGAGGTGAGTGGATTCCCTGAGCCTGTGGGTTTGAGACCAGCCTGGGCAACCTGACGAGACCTCATCTCTACAATAAATCAAAACTTAGCTGGGCGTGGTAGTGCATGCCTGTAGTTCCAGCTACTTGGAAGGCAGAAGTGGAAGGATCGCTGGAGGTCAATGCTGGGGTGGCTGTGAGTTTGCTACAGCATTCCAGCCTGGGTGATGGAGTGCAACTCCAACTCAAAAAAAATAATAAGATGATTTAACATCGGGGGTAATGTACTGCCCTTGAAGGTATGTCACATAGATGTAATGCATTTTACGGTGGACTCTTAGATAGAGTAAACATGGAGTCTTTAATTTCTTCTCCCATCTAAATACACTTATTGTTTTGAAAGTATTTAACTGACCTTTATCTCGGGTAGAGATTGAGACCTCATAAGTCATTGGGTTCATGGCTCTGGAGTCAAAATGCCTACTCTGGGGTGTTGGGAAAGTTGCTTGTCAATTGTGATGCTAAGAATATGTTTGCCGTGATTAATAGATAACATGTTACTCTGCTTTTCTGCTTCATAGATGTAATGATGTCCTGAGATTGGCAATGAATTGAATATTCATTTATTTTGATGGTGAAGTAAATTCGGTGAGGTTGGTTAGATACACAAAGTTTATTAGTTTTTTATGATCAAAGGCATTGCATCAAAAGTCTGAGGTTGAATTAGTACCAGGCCTCAAAAGCTTCAGTTGTTTTGCAAGCAGATGTTTAGCTCCTTGAATCGTATTTTTTGTTCCTCCATGCTGGCTTTTTATATAATGTAGTTAAACATGCAAGCATTCATATTGGCTAAAATTCAGTTTGTGCAGTCTATTGCTGAAAGGTGACAGGATATGTATACTTCTAGAACACTTAGTAGAAGACAAGATTGGGAGGCTGGAAATAGACAGCTGGACTATGGAATGTTAGCATCTTAACCCGAGACCTAGATAACCTCTACTGTTTCAGGGAATGGAAGCAGTGGTCTCCTTTTCCTTGTGGAAATGCCACCTTATCTTTGGGCATTGGAGTCATTCGCCTGCTATCTTGTTGAGGGACTAGCTGTGGGCTCACACACAAGTGCTCTATCAAGATGTAAACAACCAACCCTCACCTTGTGTTCTTTAAAACCTTAAACTCCCTCCTTTTAATGGGAACTTGTAAAGATTTTTTTTCCTTGCAGCTTGTATTTGGAAACCACTAACAGTAACAGAGTAGAATTAGAGGAAAACATAAATCACTGCAGTCAGACATTTGCAAACTCAAAGAGCCAATGGATTATAACTTGGGCACTGAATTGCTTTCACCCTGGTCTATGGATGCTGGCCAGGTTGGTGTAAGAGCTTCAGGGTGATTTCTCATTTTAAATAATACATGCTTTGGTAATTGTTCCATAGCTATTACATCTTTCATTTGTCCCCATCAACACTACATTTTTTGTGTTCATAAATTCACTTGGAAACCTAAGTTGTCAAAAAAATCTTACAATTTATCTGTCATGAAATAGATGATTTGCAACTTATATTGTGATATTTTAATGGTTTATGAGACTGTTTTATTTAGTTCATTTACAGTGAGGGCAGTTGGCACTGTATCTTGTTGCATTTGTTTCTGATATGTATGTTTTTTCTGATTTTAAATTTTAGATCGTGCTGCCTCCTCATCTAGAAAGGATAAGAGAGAAACTGGCAGAGAATATCCATGAACTGTGGGTTATGAATAAAATTGAACTTGGATGGCAGTATGGTCCGGTACACAATTTTGAAATTTATTTTCAGATCCTCTTAATACATCTTTCTTAAGTCATAGCTCTTTTTTCTCCTCATCCTACTATGGGTTGGCATAAATCAATTGAGTTGGGTTTTTTTCCCCCTACACATTAGTTTTGGTGCAGTTTTCATTTTATTGCAGTAAATGGGGCAGACTGACATTGTTGGTAGATTCGTTGAAGGATGGTCTGGTTACCTAGACAATTGAAAGTTATCAGTCTTTGCACTGAAACTTTTATTTTCAAATCGCAGTTAACACATACAGATAATAGGCATTGATTTGTAAGCCACTTTAAAAACTCATAGTGAGAGTGAAAGTGAAAACTGAAAGTGAAAAGAAATAAGTTAATTTACTTTTCCCTCGCTGATATTATTTTTCTTTTAGTCCCAATTGTATGCATAATAGGAGATCTGTGGAAAAAAGTTCATAGTTGGTTTTACAGGTAGAAGACAGGCTGAAAAATGATTGTATATGTTTCCAAATGATTAAAAAATAAACTTTCTATGTAACTCCAGTGTGTATCATGAATTTGTTTCTAGCAGGAGAGTGATAATACTTTCATTTTTATTCCAAGTATTTGAAACGTTGTAACACTCCCTTATACTTACTTGACTGAATATAGGAATTAGTGTATTTACCCAGCTTATTTCATTGATCTCCAAATGAAGAATATTTATTATTTCCCTAAACCTAGCCCCTACCCCTAACCCTAACCCTAACCCTAGCCCGAGCCCCTAGCCCCTAGCCCCTAGCCCTAACCCTAATTAGTAGTAATTAGTGGTAACATATGATATTCCACATTACTCATTAGTGTTTTTATGTTTATTTACTATGTTGCATTTTCACAGATTATTAGGTTAAATTGTCATTACAGTGAACTAGGTTACACATGTTATTACTTCAGTTTTACTGGTGATAATGTAGCTGAAGTTTCTTGTAAAGTTGTTAAATGCCTTAGCAAAAATAAAATAGCTTAGTAGTACGGTTTTCACCATAAGACTTGCTGAAGGCTGGGTGCAGTGGCTCACACCTGTAATCCCAATACTTTGGGAGGTGAAGGTGAGAAGATTCCTTGAGCCCAAGAGTTTGAGACCAGCCTGGGCAACATGGTATGACTTCAGTCTCTACGATAAATTTAAAAAGTAGCCAGGTATGGTGGTGCATACCTGTAGTCCCAGCTACTTAGAAGGCTGAAATGGAAGGATTGCCTGAACCCGGAAGTTTGAGACCATGGTGAGCTCAAACTCGCATGAGGAAGAGATTATCCCAGGGTTCGGACATGCTTGCTTGTTTTTATCTTTATGCTTAGCATTTAGGGCTACAGAATTAGAATTTAGTGCTAAATTTTATAACTCTATTTCAATTCCAGAGTTATGCATTTAAATAAGTATATATGGCATATACCTTTTTTTTTTTTTTTTTTTTTTTTTAAAAAA